TACTGCCACCTGATTACTTTAGTATACCTAATGGAACAAAGACTGAATAAGCTACCCAGCTTTGCTACAAGGAAAAATTAGTGATACTTAAACTTGGACTTTCATTTACTTCACTTATTTTAAAGTATTTCCTGGATACAAAGCTGACTCGCAGAGATTGGTGGGGTCTACACATGTGCCTGATGGTAACAATTATCTGAAACTAAGGAGATTTTTGGTAGCTAATGCCCTTAAGAGTGTAATTTTCAAGGAATGTGGTTTGGCTCCTAAGTATATAGCAAGACAACACTCTTACCGCATTGCATATAGAGATGACAAGCAGTGAATACAGTGACTACGAAGTGTATTTCTAAGTAGAAAAGGACTTAACGATGGATTATAAAATGGTTCATCAAGATAATTTAAATGAAGACAATGCAAATCAGTTCTCATGGGATGACCTTAAATCAATGATTGTAGCTACAATTAAATCAACAATTAAGGACACTTGTGTTAAACTATTCAATGTAAACTCAACCTCTTCAGAGGACAAACTGTTACACCCGACTCTTAAAGACAAAGAACCTATTTGTAAGCAAGAAGAAGCTTCAGCAAGACAGAACCAGGTGCTTCACAAAAAGACTTTCACAGCAAAAAAAAGATGACAAATTGTTTGGAGAAGTTGGACTGTCGGACTTGAAGACTTTACCAGTTATAGGAGTACTTAAACAGGAGAAGAAAAGAGCAAAAATCTGGCAAATGAGCGATGTACCAACCCTAGAAGTCTTCAATGTAAAGCAAACTTACAAAATACATAAAGAGAAAAGACACAGAGACAAGAACATATCCAAGATGAACACTGCTTCAGCTCAGAATGTAAAAAGGAAAGAAAATACGCAATCGCGCATGAGTTTAGGTTCAACATTGTCAAGTGTAATTCAAACCTATATGGTCTACAAGGGGAAAAGACACAAAGACAACATTTTACAGAGGAAAAGATATCTGACAAAAAGGGGGGGGAACTAAGGGTCTTATACAAAGTGATTTATATACATAGTGCCATTATGACAGGTTAGTTAAAATATTAGTGCACTGAAATAGAATGGCTTAAGGTCAGTTAAATGGTAAATAACTAGAAGGATGTTAAGAAAATGAATCTAGCCAGATGACAGAGTAAGGATATTTAGTAATAGTGGGAAAGAGAGACTAATAACGAAATTAAGTTTACAAATAGATATTCAAAACTCAGGTTTATTAGTAATAAAGATAGGATATGAGTTTCAGGTGAAACTTAACCACAAAGAAAAAAGGAAAATACTATTAGGATGAATCGATTACTAGGAAATGTTGATAAATATAATACCTGTTGTCTAGGGTTATAAAATATTACTTCAGTAGTTAACTGTGTATTAGTTAAGCTGTATAAGAAGGACTGGAAATGATATGATATAAGATATTAAGGCCCCGGTCACATGGGCCAGAAAACGCAGGGGGGGAGGCGTGGCTCTTTGTGCCATCGCAATCTGATGTGCGATTAGGTGATCAGACTTGACGGCAGCACACCAGGGCTTCCACCGTCGGCGCGCGCAGCAAAGAGGACGCCGGGCGATCACACCACAGGAGTCTGGAGGCAGCCCGTGGCAAACCATTTGCTGGTATGTTCGATCCTGGAAGCTTTTAACTATGTGGCTTCGGCGGCTTGCCGTGGGTTGGCCATGGGAGTGGTACGCCTCCCAGATGTTCTGGCGCGATCGCGCCCGGAAAATCCGCCGGAGTATCGTGCCTTCAGCGGGGCAAATGCTCCGTGTGACCGGGGCCTAAGTTGTGTTTTTGTGCTTGGGCTATACTTTTCTCCCCCTTTTCCATGCTTGTGAAAGTACAGTGATATGTCAAATAGATGGCAGAAGCTATAGATTAACAGGTGGAACCAAGCCACAGAAAAAATATAATACCCATATTTATTAATTATTAAGCATCAAGCTAGAATTTAAACAGGTGTGTACATGTGATCTACAGTAAATTGTATAGAAAAGAAGAATAGAAAAGGGAACGATTTGATTAAGGGTCAGAACAGTTGGATAAGTTGGGAAAACTTGTAGCAGAGTTTTTGATTTTGTATTAGTAAAGGAAAATTAATGGTGGGATGTTTAGCTAATCTAACGAATCTATAAAGGCACTATTTCCATTTGAGGTTGCAAAACATTGTATATTAATTATTATACTTAAATCAGGCTATGTGGGAGGAACTTGAACTGATGTCGTATAGGTCACTAAGCTTTCTTTATGTTTTGTTTGTTTATTTATGTTTGGAAAATAAATAAAAATCTATTTTTAAAAAAAGGGCCACGAGAACTAAGCACTGGCTCATCCCTCCCTGCCCTCCCTCTCGTGATCTGCCCAAGTTGACAGAATCAGCACTGCTGTCAGATGGGGCCATCCAGCTTCTGTTTGAGAACCTCCAAAGAAGGAGAGCCCACCACCACCTCCCGAGGAAGCCTGTCCCACTGAGGAACCGTAAAAGAGGGTTCTCATGCCACCTCTCAGTCGCCTCCTCTCCCGGCTAAATTTCATCAACGTGTATGTGGAATTAGGGTTCCCCTCTTTCAGCAACGTGTATGTGGAATTAGGGTTCCCCTCCATGTAGAAGGAACCACTTTGCACTTGCTTCCATTGAATGTAATCTATCTTGTGACCTGTTCACCTTGCTGGGAGAGAACATTTCAGAGCTTCTCAAAAACCTTGTGGGTTGGTTTTTTTTACCGTTCTGAATAGTTGGGTGTCAATTGTAGATGTGTCTAACTCCCTCTCCCCTCCCCCAAACTCCTGACCATTTACAAATGAATTAACCAGGACGAGGGCGGATCCCTGGAAGGCCCCACTGTTCCCCTCATCCCACTCTCCCTTCCTTCCCACCCTTTCCTTCTGGCTCTTTTTAACCAGTTGCCAGTCCATGAAAAGACACGTTCCCTTACCCTGGGACTCTTAAGGTCAGTCAGACCTGGCCCCGATTCTGTGCCAAGAATCTGCATGCTTGACACTGCCGAAGGGCCTCCCATGCGCTGCTGATTCTGCTGGTGGTGAGAGTGCGCAGGACCCCCCCGGGCCCCTGACTGTGAGGCACACTGGACCAGCTGGGGCCAAGCGTTCCCTCCATCCTAGTCACGGGCGAAGCCACCCCAGGGGCAGGGTACCTGGGCAGAAGTGCAGGCTGTGCTGGAAGTCCATCAAGGCCTCTTTCTCTCTCCCCAGCTCCAGGAACGCCACTCCCCGGACAGTCAGAGCCAGCTGCCTGGTTTGGCGAAGCACCTCGGCTTCTGGGGGAGCCAACGGGGCCCCGTCCTCTTCCGTGCCTCGGCTGCCTGCCCAAGGGGGGGAGAAGAAGGAGATTAGATTGATACCCTTAACCCTTCACTACCCAAAGGAGTCTCAGAGCGGCTGACAAACTCCTTTCCCTTCCACTCCCCACAACAGACACCCTGTGAGGCGGGTGGGGCTGTTCCAGTTGGCAGCAGAGGATAGGACCCAAAGCCCATGGTCACCCAGAAGAAGGAGGAGGAGGAGATTGGATTTATACCCCCTAAACTCTTCACTACCTGAAGGAGTCTCAGAGCGGCTGACAAACTCCTTTCCCTCCCCACAACAGACACCCTGTGAGGTAGGTGGGGCTGAGAAAGTGCTGACAGAATCTGCTCTTTTTTTCAAGGACACCTCTGACAGAACTTGTGACTGACCCAAGGTCACCCAGCTGGCTGCATGTGGAGTGGGAAATCAAACCTGGTTCTCCCAGATTAGAGTCCGCGCACTTAACCACTGCACCAAACAGGGTTCTCTCAGGGGGACTCCATCCCACAGCCAGGGTCCAGCATGAGCCGCCACACGGAACCCGTCCTTCGGCTCTGAGATGCAGTCGGGCCTGCCATACGACAAGAAAGAGAGGCCGGGCTGGTCTGAGGGGCAGAGGGAAAGGAAGCCGAGGCTCCGAAATATCGGGATCCTTCCGCCCCAGAGGCTGTACAAGGACCAGGCTCCCTGCCCTCTTGGCCCGGAAAGCGGAGCTCTGAGCAGCAGCCAGAAAACCAGACCTGACCCACTCCCGCCTTCTGGCTCCTCCGGCAAGAGAGGGAGGGAGGAACAGGCAGCAAACAACTCTGTCCCTACCTGTGTTTACAAACTGGATCCTCAGGAGATCCTGAAGGCACCTGTTGGGGAAGGATCGAAGCAGGGTCATTTCAAAGCTCCCCCCCCAAAAAAAGGCCTGTGGCACCTTAGAGACTCACAACATTTATTTCAGTATGAGCTCCCGCCCTGTAATCTCACCCACAAGAACTCCCAGGAAGTTGTAATTCACAGCAGCTCATATTGAGATAAACTGGTATTTCTGGCCACTGTGTGACACAGAGTGTTGGACTGGATGGGCCTTTGGCCTGATCCAACATTGGCGTCTCTTATGTTCGTATGTCAGTCTTTAAGGTGTCCTGGGCTTCTGCTTTATTTTGTAATCATTCCAGAGCTGTCACAAGAACCGTACCGGCACCAGGCTGCAAAGAAGGATCAAACCTTTACCACCCAGAAGACGGCGAGAGGCCTTGGGGGGCAGGGGGGGGCACTTCGAGACCATGCAAGTCTAGAAACACACCTGGAACTAGAGCCGGCATTCTGTGGATCTCACATTTTTGGAAAAATACCTGAAAAACTAAGTTTAGCATTGGAAGCAGGAGGCATTCAGTGGCCAAGGAATGGGGATGGGCCCTGGGCAGAGCTCCCGGTCTCACTCAGGGCAAGCAGGATCAGCAAAAGAAGGGAAGAAGAAGAGATCGGATTTATACCCCGCCCAAGGGAATCTCAGAGCGGCTTGCAAACTCCTTTCCCTTCCCCTCCCCACAACAGACACCCTGTGAGGTAGGTGGGGCTGAGAGAGCTCTGACAGAAATGGCTCTTTTTTCAAGGACAGCTCTTATCAGAACTACGGCTTGCCCAAGGTCATCCAGCAGGTGCAAGTGGAGGAGGAGTGGGGAGTCAAACCCGGCTCTCCCAGATTAGAGTCCGCACACTTAACCACCACACCAAACTTAACAACTACACCAAAGGGAAGGATTGCCTCAGGGCTGAACTGAGATCCATTTTAGGGGGGGAGGGGTAAGCAGCGCACAGGAACAGACATCCTTACAGGCCGCTTGCTGGGATATGCGGGGAAAACACCCGGCTGAGAAGGAACAGATGGGAGGGCGGTTCTTTCGCATCCGGTGGGGCAGGCCGCCTGGTACGGCTTGCTTTCCAGGGCCCAGGGAGGGGTGCGAGTGCTCCTCTCTGTTCCCCTCTTGCACAAACGGGCCAGACAACACAGTCGGAAGCCCCAGCTGGGAGTGCGGAGACGACAACTTGCCTGCTCGAGAGGCTGATGGCTTCCTTGGCTTCTCCTAGCCTCGCCCGCGCACAGCCCTGCAGCAAGTAGGCTGCGGCCCGCCAGAGAACGCAGTGCAGGCTCTCCCTCTCCGGCTGTGCCAGTGAGGTCCCCCAGCCGTCCTCTTGGGTGCTCGAGCCCAGGTCCACCTGCAGCCTCTTGGGAATCAGCCGGCTCGTCCGGCCGACCACCTCCTCGCAGACGGCGATGGCATCCTGGTGCCTGGCCACCTCCTCCAGGGCCGATGCAGCTTCCAGGAACACCTCGGGGACCCCGGGCAAGGCCAGCTCCCCGTGCAGGAATCCCTGGGGAGAAGACAGGAGAGCAGAACCCCCAGGTTCAGAACGTGGTGTGCCCGCCACACACGGTTCCAGTCTTTGCACACCACAGCTCAGAAAAACTCATACAAGGCGGCTTCTGAGAGAAAACAAAACCCACAAGTAAAACAAGCGGCAAATTTTTAAAAAGCAGCAGAAAACTGTGACGCAGGGAACACCCCAAAACAACACCCCAAAACACCCCAAAATATCCTACAAGCATAGATGGACACAGCACAGCATAAAATGGGAGTCAATATGAAAAACAACAGAAAAGCAAGCAGTTAAAAGTGACTGGGAAAATAAAAACAAGTTTTGCAGGGGTGCTGAAATGAGAAAATCTAGTTCCAGCTGAAGGAACAAGTTGAGGGCAGTCCACAGGCAAGGTGCCACGACTAAAAAGGTCCTTCTCTCCAGTGGTCATCTACGGGGCCACCTCCACATGAAACAGGGCCTACGATCAAGAGGGCACTATTGGGGCAGCCAGTCCTTTAGCACCTTATAGACCAAGACAGAGAGGGAAAAAGATCTCGGGGTCGTAGTGGAGAGAGCTTAATGAAAGTGTCAACCCGGAGTGCTGCAGCAGTGAAAAGGGCAAACTGTACGTCAGAGATTATTAGGAAAGGGACTGAACATAAAACAGCCAATATTACAATGTTGTTCTTCAGTCACATAGTCGAGTCCGACTCTTCGCGACCCCATGGACCAGATCACACCAGGCCTTCCGGTCTTTCGCCGTCCTCTGAAGTTGGCTCAATTTCATGTTCGTTGCATCTATGACACTGTCTATCCATCTCATCCTTTGCCGTCCCCGTCTTCTTTGACCTTCAATCTTTCCCAGCATCAGGGTCTTCTCCAGTGAGTGCTCCCTCTTCATTGGGTGGCCAAAGTATTTGAGCTTCAGTTTCATTATCTGGCCTTCCAGGGAACAGTCAGGGTTGATTTCTTTTAGGATTGACTGATTTGATCTCCTTGCAGTCCAAGGGACTCTCAAGAGTCTTCTCCAGCACCATAGTTCAAAAGAATCTATTCTTCAGCGCTCAGCCTTCCTTATAGTCCAACTCTCGCAGCCACACATGACTACTGGGAATACCATTGCTTTGACCATAGACATTTGTTGGCAGGGTGATGTCTCTATTTTTTATTATGCTGTCTAGGTTCGCCATCGCTTTCCTCCCAAGGAGCAGGCGTCTTTTAATTTCATGGCTGCTTTCACAGTCTGCGGTGATCTGGGATCCCAGGAACGTGAAGTCTGTCACTACTTCCACGACTTCCCCTTCTATTTGCCAAGGAGTGATGGGGCCGGATGCCATGATCTTAGTTTTTTTGATGTTGAGCTTCAAGCCCACTTTTGCGCTCTCCTCTTTTACCCTGAGCAAGAGGCTCTTTAGGTCCTCTTCACTTTCAGCCATTAGAGTGGTATCATCTGCATATCTGAGGTTGTTGATCTTTTCCCCAGCAATCTTAATTCCCACTTGTGATTCATCCAGGCCAGCATTTCGCATGATGTACTCTGCATATATATTAAATAAGCAAGGCGACAATATACATCCTTGTCGTTCCCTGTGAGGAAAGGCTCAAGAGTCTGGGACTTTGCAGTTTAGAAAAAAGACAAGTAAGGGGGGACATGACAGAGGTTTATCAAATTATGCATGCGGTGGAGAGTTGATAAAGAAAAAAAATTCTCCCTCCCCCAAAACTCGAGGTCATCCAATGAAACTGATGGGCAGTAGGTTCAGGATGGACCAAAGGAAACCTACTTTACACAGAGAGTGATTAAAATGTGGAATTTACTGCCAGAGGATGTGATGATGACCACAGGAATAAACAGCATTCAAAGGGGATTAGATAAATTCATGGAGGATAAGTCGATCAATGGTTACTAGGCATGGTGACTGAGGGAACCTCCATGTTCAGAGGCACTAAACCTTTGAATCCCAGAGTCAGGAGACAACTTCAGGGGAAGGCCACGGCCTCCATGCCCTGTTGCTGGCCCTCCAGAGGAACTGACTGGCCACTGTGTGAGAAGACAGGATGCTGGACTAGATGGACCACTGGTCTGATCTGGCAGGGTTCTTCTTATGTTTTTAGGAAGTCCTCGACCTCTATGCCCTGTTGCTGGCCCTCCAGAGAAACTGGCTGGCCTCTGTGTGAGACAGGATGCTGGACTAGATGGACCACTGGTCTGATCCAGCAGTGCTCTTATGTTTTTAGGAAGGCCTTGGCCTCTGTGCCCTGTTGTTGGCCCTCCAGAGGGACTGATTGGCCACTATGTGAGACAAGATGCTGGACTAGATGGACCACTGGTCTGATCTAGCAGGGCTCTTATGCTCTTAGGAAGGGCTCGGCCTCTGTTCCGTGCTGTTGGCCCTCCAGAGGAACTGGTTGGCCACTGTGTGAGACGACAGGATGCTGGGCTAGATGGACAGCTGGTCTGGTCCAGCAGTGCTCTTCTTATGTTGCTCCAAAGCTTGGCTGAAGGCTTAAAGAAATCTGGATCTTATGCATAGTGTTCAGTTACTCTTATTCACAGCCGTATCGCTGTTTTGGATAGCAATGGGTGGGTGGTAGTGCGAGTTACCCTGCGGCATGGGAAAAACTGTCAGCTCTGAAGTCTAGACAGCTGTCTTGTGGGTGATCATAATTCCTGCCACTTTGCTAGAAGTTCTTGTTATTCCCAGGTACAAATGTTATTAACTTTTTAACTAGAGAAAAAGAAGCAGCTCTGTTAAATTACAGGCTGCGTCTTACAGTGTGCACTTTCTTTGATCTATTATTTCTTTTGTTCTAAAAAGATAAAAATGCTAGCATTTTCAGCCCTGGGTTGCACTGACAAAAGTGATTTTAGCCTACGGTGATTGTATAGTGTTTCCATCGATTGTTTGCTTGAGGTGTGTGGCAATATTCGGAAGGGTCTAGGTGCCCGGGGTAGCCTGATTTCAGGTCTTGGAAGCTAACCATGGTCAGCCCTGGTTAGTCCTTGGATGGGCGACCACCAAGGGAGCCCAGGGTGGCTGTGCTGAGGCAGGCCATGACCAGTGTTCCCTCTAAGCTGAGTTAGTGTGAGCTAGCTCACAGTGTTTTAGCCTCCAACTCACACATTTTTGCCTTAGCTCAGGAAGGATGACTCCAGAGCAAGCTAATGTATGCAGTGGCCAGATCGCTCGCTCACAACTTTAATGCCAGTAGCTCACAAAGTAGAATTTTTGCTCCCAAGACTCCACAGCTTAGAGGAAGCATTGGCTATGACGCACCACCTCTGTTTATCTCTTGCCTTGAAAACCCCAGGGGGGGTGGGGGGGACACCATGAGTCAGTTGCAACCTGATGTCAGCCGGGTGGTGGAGGAAAGTGCCAACTACTTGGTCAGCTGTAACCTTTTGTGGAGCTGTGCGTTATTGCTCTGGTTGCTAGAGTAAGCAAGAAAGATGTGTTTTCCCTTGTGCACGGCTGTCTATTTAATACCATGCTACGCATTACAGCAATATGCAAAGAGAAGGTAACATGCGGAAGAAGAGCTGAAAAGGAATGTTAGGGGAAAACAAAGCATTGGCCTTCTTTATTGCAGTCTTCTTTATTGCAGTCACACACTGTCTCGACATTTTCAGTGAGCCTCTCTGCCCTGTTGTTGGCCCTCCAGAGGAACTGGCTGGCCCCTGTGTGAGACGGGATGCTGGACTAGAGGGACCCTCCCTGGCCTGACCCAGCAGGGCTCTTCTGCGGTTCTCATCAGGGGAAGGCCTCGGGATATCTGCCCTGTGGTTGGACCTCCAGAGGAACTGGCTGGCCCCTGTGTGAGACAGGATGCTGGGCTAGATGGACACTCCCTGGTCTGACCCAGCAGGGCTCTTCTGGTGTTCTTATGTTAAAACCAGCACTACAGAAATTAGAGCCCATTTCTCTGGGGAGGGAGGATCCAAGAGTTCTGGCGAATCCCTTTGGGCCCAGTAATGCCCCTATCTCAAATCACATGCAGCCACCAAACCCAACATGTCCAGGTATTTCAGGCCAAACTAGGAAGCAGACTGAAGACCCCCAAGAAGCCTCTCCCAGTTAGGTGGGAGGACGGCAGAAGAGCAAGCGATTCAAAGTGTGCCAAGGACTGAACAAGGTGCCCACCTGGTGAAGAGGCCCCTCCTGCCACAGGGCCAAGAGGTCCAGGTAGTGCTCGGCTGCCTCCTTCGCCCTGCCAGAAAAAGAGGAGGTGGGAGCAAGCCACCCCAGACCCACCTTACGTGGGGGGAGGGGGGGCTGTGCAGTGTGCGGTTCTTCCATTGCCTTCGGCATGTCCCCATCCCGCTACCTGCCACTGCACTTCCAAAGCTGGGGTGCCCTTTCCTTCTCCCGAGAGCCACCCAGTGAGTTGAACCTCGTGAGAAGAGTTCTCTCCAATCCCAAAGAAGAACCGGGACTCCTCTACCACTCACCTCCCTGCCTGGAGGCACCTCCGAGCCAGCAGGTACTTCACTTCTGATGGAGAGGTCTGGCCAAAGAAAGCACGAAGCTGAGGCGTGCAAACGAAAAGCTCCACTCCAACAAGGGGAGTTTGGTTGAGAGACGCCGCAGCCGTCTGCGTCGAGCCGTCCAGGGCCTGGGCAGAAAAGCAGTTCTGCTCACAGCAAGTCGGGACAGCGATAGCCCCCTCCTCCCCCCTCCCCAAAGGCTGCGTTTGCAATGGCTCTTGTCCTTCGCCCAAGGAGAACCTGGACCCAAGAAAGGGACAGGAGCCGCCCACAAACAAGGGCAGCTCCAGCTGAATCAACCGCTGCCCACTTCTAGGGCCGTCAGGATCAGGCACAGCCAGGGACACCGGCAGCCAGACATCCCCTCCAGACAGAGATGGGGAAAACGTCCTCACAGCCCCCGACTCTATCCCATCGAGCCAGAAAAGCAGCCAATCAGACCTGACAGAGCAGCGCCAAGGCCTCCAGCTCTGCTCCCACAAGTCCCAGGTGGCGGTACAGCAAGGCTGCTTGGTACAGGGCAGGGACGAAGGAGGGGTCCACCTGCAGGGCTTGCTTCAGGCACTGGATCGCGGTCTGCGGCTTACGCTGCAGTGGAGAGAATGTGGAGTCACGGCTGGGGTCTGACAAAGACATCCCGGAGTCCAGTCCTGTGTGGCATATCCTGTCCTACAGAGGGAAATATGATGCAAAAAACCACACACACACCCAACCCTTTCCCTTCTCCCTTGCAACACTTTTGCCACGTTTCTGAGCCAATGCCGTGTCCGACACAGAGTGAGGGATTTAGATCAGCGTGATCCAGGCACCGTGACCGTGGATGACCCCGGTCCGGTCACTTTCATGGAGCTGTTGTGAGACGAAGTGGGGAAAGGAAGGATATTTATGCTGCCCTGAGCAGCCAAAGGGAAAGACGGGATAAAAATGCAATAAGGGAGCTGTTATGCATAAACGTTGAATGAATATTTGTTGTCGTTTCTCAGATCCGAGAAGGAAATCTATTTGTGGGACAGGAATAATTATTCTAATTTTCTCATTCAGGCAATTTACAGGGACAGATTGAAAAAAAGTTGTGGGGGGGGGGAGAGAAGCACTTTATGGCTATGGGAAAATCCAGCCCTTTTGGGTCTTCTGAAGGAATTCCAGGGAAGAACTGCTTCTCCCATCATACATATTTAATTACAAACTGAGCGTGGCCGGGGGGGAGGGGGGCTGAGCACTGCCTAAAAAGCCCAGCAGGGGAGGGAGGAGAAAAGAAACAGGTCAGGAAGCTGCTTCAGCAGCAGTTTGCAGAACCAACCCCTGGATCTGCACCTCTGGCTGAGAGCCAGCCAGCCTGGGGCACGTGACAGTGTTTGTCCTACTCAGACTGCTTTTCAGTTCCTCTTTCTTTCTTTTTCTTTCTTTCTTTCTTTCTTTCTTTCTTTCTTTCTTTCTTTCTTTCTTTCTTTCTTTCTTTCTTTCTTTCTTTCTG